GGGGCCAGGGGGCTTACATCTCACTTTCATTGCACCCAGAGAATCCAGTTCTCTGCCTCGAAGCAGAACAATACATCTGCTAATGGGCGTCATTTAACACCAAGGGCAAGGAGCCCAACACAGGGACAGCTCCCTTCTCCCCCTCACAACAGCCTGAAGAACAGCAGAAAATGCAGTTGTGGATGGCAGCTCTGCATCCTTCAGAATCCCAACAGAGAGGGAGTGCAAGGGCGTGGACTTCCGGGCAGGCCACGCCAGCGAAGACTGTGTGGAGAGAGAGCCGAGAGCGACACAGCGAGCATCATGTGCCTCCAGGTGAGGTTTCTGGTCTCTTGGAAAGTCTTGGCTTTCCTAGGATGTTGCCAAGTGAGGTGGTCACGACACTCACAGCTCCCCGTGGAAGTCAACTGCGGAGGCAGCCACTGAGCAAGTGCTGGACCAGCCGGCTGGACTGGCTGTGAGATGCCATGTTCCCGACGTGCCACCTCCCCAAGGGATTTCCCAGGGTAGTACTGACAGTGGAACATGACTGGCTAGAGTGGACAGCCGTGCCCCAGGGAAAGGCGTCACACTGGTGAGGAAATCTGCTTGGATGGAATAGTCACGCATTGGGCACTGGGACGATTCCTCCAAAGCAAAGGTCTCAAACTTCTTGAAAGAATAGAAGCCCACTCCTTTAACTACTCTGCGGGGCACTGAGATCTTTAACAGATAGTTCAGAAAGCAGGCTCAGAAGCCGAAAAACCACTGGGGCAGTTACCATTTCCCATGGGGTCTAAAGGACATTGTGGAGCCAGATACCGGGGTGAACACCTGTCATCCCAGGGACGCCAGAGGCAGAAGCAGGAGGATGGCCAAGCTCAAGGCCAGCCTCCGAAAGTTCAAAGCCAACCTGGGCAGCTTAGTGACAGCCTGTCTCACAGTTTAAAAAAAAAAAAAAAAAGGTGTGTAGTGGGGAGGTGCTGTGGTGTAACTCAGTGGTAAACCACCCCTGGGTTCAATCTTTAGTATTGCAAAAAAGTAAAATAAACAAATAAAAGATACTGTAGAGAAACTAAGTTTCCAAATAGCCACTGAGTACCTGCAATCTGAAGCAGGGTCAGAAGCTGTGAAAAAGGCCAGGGGCAGCTAAGAGGTATGGGGGGCCAGAGAAGACCCAGAACAGAGCCCCAAAGCAGACAGTAGGTGGGAACTTGCCGTTTGTCAAGAGCCAGCTCTGAGGCAGGCTGCCCACAGGACCAGGGCAGATGGGACACAAAGTGCCAGTGGCCAGCTCAGCCTCTCTGCGCCATGTGGCCTAGAGGGCACTTGATCCAAAGGGGCCTGACACGCCCTTCCCCAGATCTAGCACAGGCCAGCTCAGGGCTCCCTCCCAGGAAGGGGCCCAGTAGTCGGCCATCATGCAGTCTCAGAAGACAGGAAGGGGACAGCTCTGTCCTGGCTGCTGCCTTGAAGTTTGGAGCTAGACAAAGTGTACCCCTGGTTCCTCGGAGCCCTGTCAGTGGAAGCTTTGAAAATCTGGGGGAGAGGGGCTTTTCACCATCACAGTGATGGGTGGTGCATGCACCAGAGGTGACAGAAGTCCTCACATGCACACAGACCCCTGCTATAAGGAATGGCTCCGTGTTCAGCACAGATTTCAAATCCTGGGAGACAGACCCGGCTCAGGGTCTGTCTCACACAACAGCATAAAGGGCTTTTTCCCAGTTTAAATACACATAGATCGTACGCTCATGTTCAAAGCCAATTTTCCCACAACAGTCAAAAGTGGAATCACCCCAAGTGCCCATCCATGAACGAACTGATAAGCAATATATATCCAGACACGGGAACATTCATTACTCAGCCTTAAAGAAAAGGAAAGCCTGAGACACACACCACAGAGGAACTTGGAGGACACCGCACAGTGAAATGAGCCAGACCCAAAACTGCCAATGTGGCCCGGTTCCAGGTACCCGTCAAATTGATGGGGACAGGGCGCCAGGGGGGGGGGGGGGGGGGGGGGGGGGGGGCCAAGTTAATACTTCCTGGGTGCATTGTTTCAACTGGGGAAGATGGAAGTGCTCTGGACGTGGATGGTAACGTTGGTTACACCACATCTGAAAGAACTTAATGCCAAGGAACTGTCACTTAAAAATGGTTAGAATATTGGGGCTGGGGATGTGGCTTAAGTGATAGCGTGCTCGCCTGGCATGCGTGCGGCCCGGGTTCGATCCTCAGCACCACATACAAACAAAGATGTTGTGTCCACCGAAAACTGAAAAATAAATATTGAAATTCTCTCTCTCTCTCTCTCTCTAAAAAAAATGGTTAGAACAGCCAACTGCATATTATGTATATTTTATCATAGATACAGAGAGAGAGAGAGAGAGAGAGAGAGAGAGAGAGAGTGTTAGTTAGTTCTAGAAATGTGGTTTCCCTATAAATCAAAGGAAAACTGTACTTGGTTGGGCCAGAACTCCACCGTGACCAGTTCACCACTGCGGAAACCTGTGACCTGGGTGGCCACTCGGGGCACCCGAGCTGCTAGCACCGCCCTCCCGCACCCTGCAGCTGGCACCCCTCCTTGTCCCCACACAGAGACACAGCGGCTGTCAGGGTCCCGTCTTCCCAAGCCATGGTGCCCAGTGCTGCCACACTGACCCACTATCAGAAGCCATCTCCTTTTATTTTTCTACTACTTGGCAGTCGACATTTTTACAATTCTGTGTGTGTGTGTGTGTGTGTGTGTGTGTTACTTGTGAATGTTTTTTCATAATGGCTTTAGTGGCATTTTAAAATATTTGTTCTACAAAAACTGGGGTGGGGGTGGGTGGTGGGACTGGCTTTGATGTGGCTGAGGCCCCGTGTTCTGTTCAGGAGACAGAGCCCCATCAGAGCATAGGACGCCACCCATCTGCCTCTCTGGAGTTAATATAAGCAGGATCTTGCAAGAATTCACATTCTCACGGTGGAGATCTGGCGGCTCCCCTGAAGTATGTGGTAGAAAACAAGAGCACCTCCGACTCTTGTCAGTGCTGAGCCCCCCCACCCACTCACCCACACTTCCCACACCCACTACACACACATACCAACACACACGTAAAATAATCGAATTCATGGCCCCTGGCAATACACTCAGACACAGATGAGGTGAACCAAAGAACATATTTTCAGTCATGGGAATCACTGTATCATGTCAAAAGAGATTAGAACTTGCCTGGGAAGGGCACGGTGTGTCAATTGCAATTACGCAGAGATCGTCTCTCTATTGTGAGCACCCCCCTTCCCATCTCAACACTGGAACATGATTAATATTTTACATACCGTCCAAGAGGGGAGTGTGACTTACCAGAAACCGTACTGAACATTTCAAATACAGATCATCCCTTTGCCAAAAGAAAATCCTGCCCAGCTGTAGTTTTCTCATTTGCAAAACACAAGAGCAATGACATTCCATTACTCAGAGAGACCGGCTGTTCCAGCAGACCCTTGGCAACGGAGGTTGCACTTATCTTTCTGAACCAGAGTCTCAGAAAATGCGTTCGGTCTCCGAAAGAGTCATTTGATGCATCTGAGCTCTTTAGAAACGGGCTCTTGCCCAAGCAAATTCCTGTTAGGGAAAATCCATTCCCCTGACCTGGGAAGGACAAAGAGTAACCCTCAAACTCGAGGCAAGAACAGTTCCAAGTTTAAGGACTTCAGTGACAGTCAAAGGGCATGCAACAATATTCACACTGTCCTCAAGACAAAATCAAGTACCCTTTGAATTCCTAAGGGACAGCCTGCAGCCTCCCACTGGCAGAAGAGACCCTTGAGCCTCCATCATCCAGGTCCTTTCCCTGTGTTGTGCTGAAGGTATGAATCACCTCCACTCCCTGCACTGCACTTGGCAGAACGGGTCCAGAGTGTTCCGTCTTCTGGAAGTTCCTTTCCCCAGAGAAGCTCATGGCCACACGCCAGGGTGACGCAACCCCACTTATGGCTTAGCTCATGGTCAAGCTCCCACTCGGTCCAACCCCACATTTTGGAAGGAGCCACAAAAGCACTGAGGAAATGCAGACACTCCACAAATGTGTCTGGAACAACAGACGCCCACCGTCTCGGGGCTGTTCTCCTGGTTTCCTGTTTGATGCACTGTATCATGACCACGGCCCGTGGGCGAGTTTCTTGTGGGATCCAGGGTATCATCTTGGACACTCTTATTTGCTTTCTCCCTAATAGAAGGCCCAACATATTTAGCCGTGGGTGTACCCATTAAAAGAGAAATCAAAATGAAGCCAAACAACAACAAACAGCAAAAAAAATGTAGCCACGTACATCAAGTTTTGCAAATGGAGGCCAAACGATGCAACGAGGGATGTTCTTCCTTCAGCAACCCAGAGCACCCTGGGACACTGCCCACGTCTATTCCAAAGGATGGCATGGGAAGGCCCAGAGAGCCACCTTCCCCAGCGCAGACCCAAGCCTGTGTGCCAAAGTCTGAAGTGCAAATGAAAGGAAATCTGGCGAGGATGTGAGGGGACCCTACCCTTACCGCTCACCCCTGGGTGACCAGTGACAACAGGCAAACAGCAAAGAGGACAGCAACGAGGGTACAAAAGCCACAGTACCCTGTGGGCTCCAGCTCCAGAGCCGACATCATCACATCCCAGTGACCAATCTGCGCACGGCCACAAGGGCGGGTGCAGCGGGGACCGCCTATCTGGTCCCAACCAACATCCAGCTCTCCCACAGTTCTGCACAGAGCCCAAACTGAGCATCCAAATCAGATGCAGGTGCGCAGGGAAGGAGCGGGCCGTGAACACACACTCACCATCTGCTTCTCTATATGCAACAACTTCACACCACAGCACTCAACGCGCCCCCTGCTCCGGCACGACCCTCAGGAGAAGCACACCTCCTGCCCAGCCGTCCGTCCGGCCTGAGGCCTCCCTCCACGACCAAGCATCGCGCTGCGAGCCAGATGCAGAAGGCAAGGACGTTCAGCCTGTTCAAAGACGCTGGCCAGCATCACTTACCTCGATAATCCTGTCGTGAATCTGCAGGCCTCCTTCCTTGGCCGCCGGTCCGCTCTCCACTATTCTGGACACAAAGATTCCCTCGCTGGATGAGCCATCTTGATTGTCCTTTGGGTTAAGAAAACAAAGATATGAATGTGAGGATGGGGGGTAAAAAATACCACACACCCCTCGCTCATCAAAGTGGCAATCGGGTAAAAGCTGCTGGTTTCCCCTAATTGTTCTTAGACTAAAATATGCCCACACCCACGGTGAGCCATCTCAAGTCACAGCAAAAATCCTGCCACTTCCAAACCAAAGTCCTACTTCCCCATGGAGTGTCTCCTTCATTTTATGCATGTTTTCCAAAATATTTTAATGCACCACCTTCTTAAATACTTGTTTGTCATGCATGCAACTAGGATTATGCAATTTCAATTCTTATGCCCTTCTCTCACTTAATTCTAGAATCTTGGAGCTCTTCCACCATCAATCACCCGTCCTTGTCTGCCCCATTTTTCTTTTTTTTTTTTTTTGGTGGCACCGGAATTGAGTTGAGCTACACACACAGCCCCATCCCCACTCTGCTCGTTGAAGCAGCTGCAAGGTGCCCCAGAATCCTGAGCGATCCAGTTGTTAGGAGCGACAGTGAGAGTGCCAACCTAGATTCTAAAATCTAGTGCCAAACATCGTTGCTAACACAAACCTAGCAATGAAAATTGTTGGTTGAATGTGTGCAGTTGAGTGACATGGCTGAGCTGCCCTCCAGAGAGTGGTAATTTAAAAGGAGGCATAAGTTATTACTATTTTTCCACATCCTCACCAGTACCGAGTATCCCTGAGCTTGTCGAGATCTAATAACCTAATTGAGAAGACAGGTATCTGGGCTTCATGCTGATGTGCATCAGATTACTCCACCACCATGCTGCCCAATCCTGGGCGGTTCTCAGCTGCAGCTTCCTCGAATCCCTTTAGACCTTTGAGTGAAACCTCAGGACTGGGGCCTTCTGGGAAAGACGACACCTCACCGCTCAGAATCCCCCTTCTGCTTACAGTCAAGTGGCTCCAACATGCTTTTAAAACCCTCCCAACTCGTTCTCCAACCCCCTTCCAAACAGCACCGCAATGAATTCCCTCCAAGTGTGTGGATTACATTTCTAGTGATTAACAGATGGATTTATCAATTAAATGGTAGAAGCATGTATCGTTTCCAAACGAGATCATTTGAAAAGCAAGCTCAGGATGCTCTGCAGAAACTCCAGCGTCTCTCATCACCGCACGTTCCTTCTCACAACAACCTAAGAAGATCGATTTTATAATAGTAACTCTGCATATAAATACATAAAAATGCCATGGTCCAAAAAATAACGATGAAAATACAACATTTTCCTTTTTAAACAGGGAAAAAAAACTATATTCTAAAGAGGGGAAGAGATGATTATGTGGTTAAATCTACCCTTCAAATCCAACAGCAATAATCAAGGCTGGGAAAATACCTTCCTCAGTGCCCCCAAACCCCCTGCAACTCATGCACACAAGTATATGTGTTTTCTCTCTCTCAAATGTTATGATTCATCAGAAAAAACCCAAATCGCAACCTAAAATGAGCATTAAGTGCTCTTCCCAACATTCATCCCACATGACAAAGATACATTTCTAACTGCCATCTGGATTCCATCAACATTCTTTCAAGAGAAGGGCCACAGGATTACTGTGGGTGCTGTGTTGGATCAGCTATCCTGGAAGGCATTCTTCAAGCTGCACAGCGCTCTGCACGGCCCCGAGTGCTAACCCTCTACCATCTGAATATCTACCGCCTCTCCCTCCCATGGCAGCCTAACTACTACACTGGTCCCAATGCATCTGGGTTGCCTTATATGCACATCTTAAATGTGAGACAGAGCTGCACAGCAACTTCTATTTACTGAGAAACACTAGGCACCAGATATGCAGTGTCTATGGGTGTCATTAAGTCTTCCCAATAACCACAGGCGGTAAATACCAGTACATCCACTCCACAGTTGAAAAACTCGAGACTCAGAGAGGCCAAGTTACGTATCCAAGGACACACAACTATAGAACAGCATAGCTTGGTTTTATACTGAGGCTAGAATAATTCTCTTGCACATGCCAGACTGAGAAAACTCAAAATACACAAGGCTTCAGAATTCCAACACTGCAGCGTGTGCAATATCCCGATACAGGAACCTGAACAGCCTATTGGACCACCAAGGATTTACGAAGATGGCTGTGTTCCCTAAAAGCTGATATGGATACATCATATGAAAAGGAGTCTTTTGTTTCCTTTGATGGAACCACTTTACATTTCTTGGCTGGAGAAGAACAGCAGACAGGGGAATGAAAATTTGGCTTTGGTTTGTTTTACAAAATGCCACGCTGCACACAATTATTCTAAGAGAGACTAGAAAGACCCAACCAAAATCAGAGAGGAGCAAGCAAAACCAAGCACCAGAACCGAGGCTCCACGAAGCCCGCGGGGGAGGAGAGGAGCTGGTGAAGACTAGATATAAAAGGCACAGAATCGAAGAAAACCTGATCAGGTCCATTTTTGATAGATTTTTCTCTTCAAAGGCCATCCCTTTATTTTTAGTTTGTTTGGCTCCTTGCCTAACACATTTAAGTCAGAGCTATTTATCAAGTTGAACTAACAGGACTGGGGATCTGTTTTGCTGGCCTGGGTAAAAGAAAGATGAACGGGACTGCTCTCACCCCAGGTACTGGACATAGAACACCTGCCCAAGGCTTGTGCGAGGGGTCGGATTCCCCCAGGCTGCTGCCACGGTGAGGGGCTGTGAGAGTCTAGGACTAGCACCCCTAGCAGAAGTGCTTGGGACACCTCTGTGTCTGAACTGCCCTCTGCTTCCGTTCCCAGCCACACGTGGGCATCATGGCTCATCTCGGCTCCTTACTAGGCACCCAATGGCCTGCCGGATTCTCCAGGCACCAGCATGGAATACATTTAGAGTTCAGTATGCCGTTTCTGCGAATCAGGACAAGCTCTTAAAACCACCACGGCAAACTCTCCCCTGGAGGATAGACACGGAGTTCTTGCGTAAGTGGAGTACATAAGTGGAGAACATTCAGGCAATCTATGAAATCAGGACTGGCTTATCCTTATGTCACCTTTTTATAGGAAAAAGAAAAGAATGTGAAATATGCCCTTTGTTAGGTACAAGGAAGAAAAGTATTCTTGGTGAGAAGGGGCTTGTCACTGGACCAGGCTCAGAAACCAGCCACCCTGCTGGGTGGCATCAGTAAGCCCATCAGGTTTCCCAACAGCAGCTAACCCTGGACACTCTGACCTCTGCGACCTGCAGACACCGCTCTGATGTGGCTAGAGCCGAGGCAGAAAATGGTCCTCCTCACTGGGCTCTTTTAGCTGCAAAAGACTTACACATCTAACAAGTGAAGTGACTCAGTTTATTGACATTGTCTCTTAAAACTGGTAATGATGGACGCACAAAGGAAGGAGGACAAAGGGTGGCAAAGGTGCTTTTGGAAGAGTCGACTGCGGTCCCTGCTCGGTGGCCTGCAAGCTTTCTGTAACCTGAAGAATGTGGATCCAAGACCCCTGTCTGGTTTCCTGGGGCCACCTGCTTGGACACACGGACCCAGTGTGCTTCCTGGCCTCCCAAAGCTCGGGAGGGCTGATCCCTGGCTGCAAGGACTAGACCAGATTGCACAAGGACACGCAGCCTGGAGTTTAGCCAATTGTAAAGAGTCAAAAGAAGAATATGCCAAGCTGCATGATTCTACGATTTCTTTTTTTTCTTCTTCTTTTTTTGGGGGGAGGGGGATTGAGCTCAGGGGCACTCGACCACTGAGTCACATCTCCAGACCTATTTCCTGTTTTATTTAGAGACAGGGTCTCACTGAGTTGCTTAGGGCCTCGCTTTTGCTGAGGCTGGCTTTGAACTCATGATCCTCCTGCCTCAGCCTCCCGAGCTATTGGGATGACACCATACCTGGTACTCTGCAGTTTCTTAAGAGTACCACAGAGATAAGAGGGGAACACAGAACCTGTCTACACGTCCCTGGGGCTTGGCAAGGGGAAGGCCCTCTGCTCCTGCTCACCTTCCTACCTCTAACGCACCCTCAGTACTAACGCTGTGTCTACGACAGCTAATGTTCATCATTTTAATGAGCACATCACTTCCAACTAAACTGCCATTTTTTAATAATAAAACCTTTTTTGTCTTTTGAAACTATGGCTTTGGCCAAAAGCTAAGTCTATTTAAGCATAAATCTCTTCATGTCACTCCCTGGATTGCGACTGCGGTTTGGACGGTTTGGACACCCGCTGCCTTAGCCAATTCAAGCCCCAGACCACGGGACTTACCAGGCCTTTGGGGATCAGGCCAGTTTCCTTCTCCAGGCCTCTTTCTGACGCTTCCCTGCCCAGCCTCACCCACTGCCCCCAACTCCCTAACTCGCAGTACTGTCCCTGCTCTGGACCTCACGTGAGGTGCCAAGCACCCACAGCAAGGCCGTTGGCCATTTTCAAGTCAGTGGTCTTCAAAAATGGGTAGGTGAGGCACTCGTGGAGGCACACCCCTGCAAGCCCAGGGGCTCAGGAGGCTGGGAAGGAGAATCACGAGTTCAAAGCTGGCCTCAGCAATTTAGTGAGGCCCTAAGCAACTCAGTGAGACCCTGTCCCTAAATAAAAAAATGAAAAGGGCTGGGGATGTGACTTCAGAGTCACATTTGATCTTGTTGTTTAGAATCCTCCCTTGTGCCTGCAATCCGTAGAGGAACCTAACACACTGGTTCAATAGTATAGATACATTTTCTAACTAACTCAATATAATTGATTTATTTTATAGTTCACAGGGCTCAGTTGTACCAAAGAATATGGTCTTCTGACCCAGTGAACTCCTACTCATCCTTCAAAACTCAGCTGCAATGGATCCTCCCCAGGACACCTCCTCCTCTGGGGATAAGTGGCCCCAGGTTTGCCTAGTTAGTTCCAGCACAGATCCTACAGCAAGGACAGGGAAGTCTCCTTCTGCCCCACCGAGGATGTGAGTCCCCATCTAGATGAGAGTTCTGTGAAAGCAGGGGACCGCTCCCCATGGCCACATGGCTAGCATCTTCTCATCCTTTAGGTTTCTGCTCACGATCTTTCCTAACCTAGCTGATGGTGCCCACTGCTTCCAGAAACCTACCGCACGCCACTCTCCCAGCCCTCCTTACCCTTCTCTGGAAAGACTGTCTGCACTGACTTGCTTCTTGCATGCCCACAGGGACCCCTGCTCCCTGGTGTTGCTGGACCTCCAGTCCTAGCACACAACCTGTGCTCAATATTTGTTTCCTGTTATTTGCTTGTTATTGAACAAGCAAACAATCTTTTTTTTTTTTTTTTTTTAATGGGCAGTGGTACCAGGGATTGAACTCAGGGGCACTCGACCCCTGAGCCCCATCCCCAGTCCCATTTTGAATTTTACTTAGAGACAGGGTCTCATTGAAGTGCTTAGCGCCTCACAGTTGCTGAGGCTGGCTTTGAACTCATGGTCCTCCTGCCTCAGCTTCCCGAGCTGCTGGAATTACAGGTGTGCACCACCACGCCCGGCCAACAAACTTCATTTTTCTTTTCCTTTCTTTCAATTAATTCGAGTTGACAAATGAGCAAACGGGCACAGAAGAGCAAGAGATGGTTCACTGTCAAGACAATCCCCCTCGTCAGGCGATACCCTGAAACACGTCCCTTGCTGCTCCCTGGGGGCCCTCTCTGCAGCCGTTTTCCTGCAGGTTAAAGTGACAGAGGTGACTTTGGCCTTTTTTTTTGTGGGGAGGGGGGTGCTAGGGTTTGAACCCAGGGTCTTGTGCATGCGAGGCAAGCACTCTACCAACTGAGCTATAGCCCCAGCCCCTGGCCTCTTCTTTCTAGGGCAGAGGCTGAAGATGAATGGGCAGAACAGGTCAAGGGAGGCGAAGACCCATGGGTGGGGACCATCCCTGACCTAGGAGGAACAGACAGAGTGGCAGCCCCCGTCCAGCTTGGTGACAGGGGGTGGCTGGGTTATTCAGTTCCATCTGCACCCCCTTGCACACCTTCATCCAGCTCAACCAAAATGCACCCCAAATGAGAAACGAAGAATGAGCTGCCATCTTGCAGAAGTCTAGAGCAAAAGAAAAAACCCTGTGTGAAGACGGTGACATACAGTGAACTCTAATCACAGAGAGCAGAGAGAAGTGACCAGGGCTTCCAATCCTTACCCCACCACACACACATCCCTCAAACCCTGGCCTCTCCTCCAGCTACCCGGGGGAAGGGAAAACACATTTAGTAATTAACATACCACACAGGGCCGGCCACCGATGATATTGAATCCCAGGGAGCCCGAGTCCCGGTGCAAGACAAGACTGAGACTTCTGGTTTCTTCACCCTACAGGGGACAAATGAGTCCATGTGGTTATTTACAAACAGGAAACTGAAGATAGGTATTTTCTTTAGAAGTGGACTTGGGACAGCCAGAGCTAATCATTTAAGAAATCCTTTATCTCTTAGGAAGTTTAACCAATGAAATTCCTGAAACCCAACCTCAAACTCTTGCCTGTCTTTTGAAGATTCCAACCATGTCCAGATACCTCCTGGCCCTGGAATGACCACATAAAAATGCCCAGCGAACATCTCCTAACAAGACTGCCCTGCTGTCTGCAATGCCCCCTTCTATTGACCTGCCCACTGGACACTGGCCATCTAGATGGTGACTCTGTTCCTCAGCCCTTCTCAATGGTGGCATTCATGTTGAGACCTGAAAGGTTCAAGAGGCAGCCCCCTGCAGAAGTTGGAGCTCATGCGTGGCCCATCAATGGTCATCTCTGTTGGAAGACCTGGGGGGGGTGGGCAGGGATGGCACAGAAAATCCTGAATCTTATGGAAAAGGGGGAGGAGACATTTTCACAAAGTCATTCCTGTCCACTAGGTCTGCAATAAAGAGCTTTTTAACACAAAACAGTGTGCTGAAGACTGGGCAGCGCGATACCCTTTAAATCAAACTAGCAGAGGTTGACTTGGCACAAGCTCCAACAGTCAAAAAAGCAACAGAGAAATAAAAGCAGAGTGGGGCTGGGGCTCAGTGGCAGAGAGCTTGCCTAGCACTTGTGAGGCACTAGGTTCGATCCTCAGCACCACATGAAAAATAAATCAATAAAACAAAATTTCTTTTTTTAAAGCAGAGTGAACCTTTCGTACCACCTGTTGCTCTACAGCCTTTGAGAGCAGCAGGGAACTAATACACCTGTGAAATATCTCCAGCTACATGGAGGGGACATGAAACCTCGAGAGAACTGAATACCAGCTGCCTTTGCTTCACTAATGTTTTCTGATTAAGCAAGGTATTAAACACTTATCAAAATGAAACCAGATTTAAAGTTAGGTGGTCAGTGTAGTTAGGTAAATCGGGTCTAATATCGAGTGAGATCTAAAATGGAGGCCATGAGAATAAATTCCCGAAAAAGTTGACCAACTCTTGAAATGTTAATGAGGTCCGGAGAAAAGCCCAAGGCCCAAAGTCCATCCCAAATAAATGTTAATGAACAGCCCCAGCAGATTTAAAGACAGCCCATCCCAAAGAAGTGTTAATGAAGTCCTTCCTGCCAGATTACTTCTTTGGCCCACCTATCTCCCAACCCTTCAGGCATTCCCACCTACATTCCCTCACCAAAAACTAAAATGGAGAGACAACCGCACTTCCACGGATTTCCACCTCTTGGGTCCCCTTCTTCCTCCGGGAGAAGTCTTTTCTGCTGTCCTTTAATAAACTTTTATTTTCCACTCTAAACTTGCCTTGGCGTGCTTCTCTGGTGTTATACTTCAACATGGGGGAAGCAAGGACTCGTCACCGGTCAACAGCAGTAATAAAAATACGAAGTATTTTGTCATAAGCTGGTTAAAAATAACTGAAGCTTACAACAAAAGATTTTATTTGGATATTTACTGCTTCCTAATGAAGCTTTTCTCTTCCACCTTTTTTGGGACAACATGGGTAACTTTTGAATGGCGTGGGACAACTATGGGAGTCCCCCACAATAGCAGGCAAAGGAACCTGGTGTCTCCCCCTGCAGTGCCCCAGGGGTTTTCTGAAGAAGGGGTCATGTATTGCCTTAGGCCTCAACATGCAACTAAGTTTCCACGTGTTGCAAAAGAACCCTCCTCCTCTCTACAAGATTATTAAAGCAGGGGAGGGTGTCACAGCCTGTAATCCCAGTGACTCCGGAGGCAGAGGCAGGAGGATCGCAAGTTCAAAGCCAGTCTCAGCAACTTAGTGAGGGGAGGAAGGGAGGGAGGGAGGGAGAGAAGGAAGGAAGGAAGGAAAGGGGGGAGAGCACGCTGGGGATATGGTTCAGTAGTAAGGTACCTTTAGGATCAATCCCTATAACCCCCTGTGAAATTATAAAACATTATTACTATTACTGACTATAGTTCTTAGTAATCACAGGTCATCATGTCCTTATGACTAGTTCATACACAGAAGAATAAAACCTGTTTAAAAATTTCATGTGAAGCCGGGTGCATGATGCACGCCTATAATCCCAGTAACTCAGGAGGTTGAGGCAGGAGGATCAGGATTTCGAAGCCAGCCTCAGCAAAAGTGAGGTGCTAAGCAACTCAGCAAGACTCTGACTCTAAATAAAATACAAAATAGGGCTGAGGATGTGCCTCAGAGGTTGAGTGCCTCCGAGTTCAATCGCCAGTACCCTTCCCAAAAAAATTTCACGAGAGCCTAACCATTAATTACAAAAATCCTCTAAAATAAAAAATGACCATTTATCCATTTATCATTAGAAAAACAACGACAACAGCAAAAATCCCTTTCTGGTCTAAGAACTGGGTGTTCCATAAGAACAACATAACATTCATTTTGGAAGGATGGCTTCCTTGACATAGTTAAGAGAATTTTGATATAAAAGAGAAGTTAGTCTCCATCAAGCCATGGTCACTAACGAAAACCAGCTGAATCTTCTTAGTAAGAGCATATTTCATTGCATTTGAAAGAAACCCAACCAACAGCAGTAGCATCCACAGTCCCTCACCATGCCAGCCACGCCAGCCGTCTCTGGAACTCATCTGAGCAGATACAAAAGCAACATCTTTCGCTGCTCTAACAGAGCAGGACTTCAGCGTCCACCTAACGCTTCTGAGATGTAAACACGACCCCCAGGTCCAAGCTGTTTTTCTGCCTTGGACACAAAAAACTCTTCCCGAGTCCATTTCTTGCTTGTCCTCTTAGAGGAGAGGAGTAGTCAGAAACAACCGTGAACTCAAGCAAGTTATCTCATATCTGACATGCCTGGGTTTCAAAACTAATCAATGATAGATACTGCAGCTCCCCACTAATCCGAGGCAGATGGCTTTAGTCTGGCAACCTCAAAGGAGGTACAAAGAACAACTCACAATCAGATGACGATGCAGATTAGTTTAAAATCTACTGTGTGATAACCACTTGAAAGCAAGCACACTGGGGGCCAGGGAAGGATTATTGTATTAAACCGTGTTGCCCTTGGTAACAGCTGACATTGATTGGCTACCGGCATGTGCCAGAAACTCTATTGAACACCTAAATGCTTTACTACATTTCCTCATGGGCCCCGTCTTAGAGAGTGACAGTGTTACCATCCTCATGTCACAAAGTGGAAGACAAAGCCTGGGGGGGGGATGTTGTCCCATATTATGGAACCAGTTAGGTGTCAAGCTGGCACTTAACAATCGAGACCTTCCTCACTCCTCTGCACGACCCAGTTTTAGGGTGGAAGGCAGACAACGACTCCATGTAGGTCAACATCACCTTATGTCCTCCCCCAGATGGTTCAGCTGTGGAGGCTGCAAAATAGGAACTCATGTATAGGAGGGCTACCACAAGAGACCTGTGGTGGGACAAAACTACAAGCCATTTTTGTGAAATGCTTTATATGCAATAGATGCAATCCGAGGTGCCCAAGACACCTGAACGTGGCCCTTGCCTCAGGGACCTCTAGAACACATGGACAAAGGCCAAAATGCGTTCTTCAAACAGCTGCATGCAAACCATCCAGTTGACGGACAGTGGCTTGCGAGGTGCAATTTCTGGGAAGAAAGAAGGGTCCTCTTATTTTCTACAAGCACCTTGAACTCCTCTGCTGTCCAGGAGGTTTAGAGAAGCTGGCTTTAGGTTGCAGCTTCTATTTCAGGAGTAACAGTAGCAAATCAACATGCAGGAGATTCACATGGAAGATCCACTGAAAGCTCAGTTGGGCTGATTCTCTTCATCTCTCCATCTGATTACCAGATCTATTCTATTCTCACCTCACAACCTTGATTCTGGTTTCTCCTTTCTAGTCCCCCTCCCAATAACAATACTAACGATGTTTAATTGTCAGAAGAATTATTAATAGATGTTATAAGCACTGAATCTCACACAACACATTCACATGCTAACATAAATCTTTGATTAACCATGTAACCTGTTTCTGGGCTCCAAGTGCTTCAGGATAGAGTATATTAATATTAAAAATGACCCCTGGGTCAATCGTATTCTACCAACTGAAGAGATGCATAAATGGGGTGAGGGCCAAGGGGGTCCAGGTGCTGCCCTTCCTGCTGTCCCTACTGTATTGATTACGGGTGTCCTTTATTTAAAGGAAAGCTGACCCAATGTTGGTATGTTTGGGTACTTGATCATAACCCATCTTTGCAATTTTCTCCGTGACCCAACACAATAAAACAAAGAGGAGTAAGAGCCCTCCTTCAGGGGGGCAACAGATGAAGCAACCCAGCTGCCTTTTGAGACAGGCATCATATCAACTTGCCACGCCTGGAGAAACCAAGACTCAGGAGGCTCACAGACTCAGTCTCACATAGTGGCAAAGTGGGAGGTCCAGGATTGGAATCCAGGTCCCTGCTGTCTGCACAATGATGGTAAATGTCTACATCCTGTCTTATCAGCCTCCAAAGAATGATCCTGGCAGGAAGGATTAGCCAGTAGAACAGCTGTGTAATTAGGAGTTCACACATGCATATTGGATCATACAACAATAGGTGCAAAGATGAAGAGTCTCTGATAGTCCCAAGAGCACCCTGATGGTACGATGGTCTGCATAATGGTTAAGATTGCAGACTGATGGTCTGCATAATGGTTAAGATTGCAGACTGTGGAGTCAGGACCACAGTTTTTTCATCTGTAGAATGCATATGGATAGAGAATCAGACAGCTTAAAATTCCTAAGTACATAAATGCTCCATATGCGGAATGACAGCAAGTCCTCAGAACACAATCAATGCACAGGGTTGGGCTCATCTCAGCCCCCAAGCCACATGCTCTTCACCCTTCTACAAAATCTAAGCAATGGACATTGGCTGATCCTAAATGAGCTCAATCTGTCCAACACAAGCCTGGGAGACCTGAGG